ATAGTGTTAATCAAGAAATTGATCAATTTTGTTCTGATTTCAATGATACTGCACGCTTACAGACAGATAGTTCAGCTTATTCTGATGGTACAACTGTGCTTTTAGCAGGTCAAATTAATGCAGGTGCAACTATTGGAAGAGATGGTTTAAAAGCAAATGCTCAAGCAGATGGATCTCTTGCTAAACATAAATTAGGAGATGCTGATATTAGTATTGGTCAAGGACAAGCTTATGCAACAGCATCCATAGGAGCTGATGGAGTAAAGGTTGTAGCTGGTGGAGAAATAAATGCTCTAACTGTAGATCATGATAAGATTCAAGCAAAAATTGGATTAAGTGTTAAAACTGGAGTTGAAGTATCTACAACAAATTTTAAGGGAACTGTTGTTGGAGTTGGATTAAATATTGGAACAGATGGAGTTGGTATAAGTATACCTTTTGGAAGTATAAACTTAAAACGTTAGTAAAAAAACAAAAAGAAAAAGCTAATAAATACTATGGAATGGTATTGTTATAATTAAAACGCTTTTACATTAATATTTGCTTAAAAATCATGAAAGTTTTTGTAGTTTTAGTTTAATAAATTGAAAATCATTTAAAGGGTTTGCGAAAAATTCAATCAAATTTTTTGTTCGTATTCAAATTTGTATATTAATCGAAATTATCGTAATTATCACTAGATTTATGTGAAATAATTTCACAATATAAGAATTTGACTAAATTTTATCAGTAATATTTAAAGATAAATTTTTTTTCTATGTGAGTTCAAGTCAATTACAGGTGTTTTGTTATTTTAATAATTCTCTCAGAACAAAAAAAAACATTCACTGAATTTTTGTAAACATTCATTATTAGACATGTACCAATCCCGAGCACAGCTTCGAGTTTTCGAGCCAAACGTGGTAAGATTGAACTCGACTCGAACTCGATCCTGTAAACTTGAACTCGACTTGAACTCGAACTTCTAAACTCGAGTTCGAGTCGAGTTCGAGCTCATTAATTCATCTAAATCCAAATACTATCGAGCAATAAGATTGCAGGAAAGTTTATTTCTCTCATTGTTGGCACAAAACTAATTCTCATTGCTGAGACCATAAGTAGAGGAAACACTAATTCCTGGTCAGTTTTTTTGCACTCTAATTGATCAAAAACTCAAACTGTAGTTCTCGATTACAGAAACGATAATTCCGAATTTCATACAAGCCCATAGAGGTTTTCAAGGCCAAGGAACTCGAAGCTGAGTTCCATCCGGCCAGACAACCCATAGTGGGAAGGGTGGGAGTGCAGTAGACCCCGTCGGGTAGGACCCGGACCCGGACCCGGACCCGTGCGGGTCCGGGTCCGGGTCCAAAAATTTTATTTTGACCGGGTCCGGGTCCGGGTCCGGGTCTGAAAATTTTGCTTTAACCGGGTCCAGGTCTGAAGAAAACTTTGATCCATACAATTTATTTTGAATTTTTTTAAAGTTTTGTTCGTTTTATACAAAGAAGAGATCAAATGTATTTAGAAAATAGATAAAAAACAACAAAACCCTTCTTGACTATACTATCTAAACTGACTTGTCATTGTGTTTGGATCCAAAAAATTTAAGCGACCGGGTCCGGGTCCGGGTCCAGCAACCTGTAAACGGGTCCGGGTCCGGATCCGGGTAGAAAAATTTTAAATGATCGGGTCCGGGTCCGGGTCCGGGTTCGGGTTCGGGTCCAAAAATTCTGGACCCGACGGGCTCTAGAGTGCAGGAGAGTAAAAAACCAATAAAAATCGAGTTTTTAGGAAAACAGTTTCTTTAGAGTAATTCGATGTGGAGAATTTGGATCTGGCCTTCATTTGCTCAGACACTCTCGACCAGAGCTATCATATTCCACTTAGTATTAAGTAGTAAGCAGAATATAACATCTCTAGTTGTAAAAGTAACTATCTGAGATCTATCTGGAGGCCGCAAAGGTAACTATCTGAGGTTACCTATGGTAACTCTCTGAAGGCTATCCTAGGGTACCAAAGGTACTTTTTGGAGCTTCTCTGTGGTTACCAAAGGTAACTATCTGAGATCGATGCCAGAGTACCAAAAGTACTATTTGAGACCAATTGTGAGGTGTCAAAAGCAATATTCTGAGAACTAATTGGTTGATGGGTGTCTGAGATAACTATTTGAATACTATCTAGAAGTACGAGAGGTAATATTCTGCCGCCTCTCGAGAGAAGAGGGGTACCAAAGGCACTATTGTAGGACTTATTTGAAAGTATCAACGGCAATATGTTGGGGTCGTATCTGAGGTCACGTGGGGTAACTATCCGAGAGCCACGTCATCGTACCATAGGCATATTCGGAGCCTCTCTTAGAGTAGGCAAAGTCATATTCTCGGATCAATCTAGCAGTACCAAAAGTAATATTCTGGGACCTAATCGACAGCGCATAAGATAACTACTTGAGGGCTATTCAATGTACCAGAGGTACTATTCTTGGGCCTATTTGAGAGTATCAATCATAACTTTCTGGGGCATCTCTCTAGGTAGCAGAGGTAGGAAAGTAGGGCTTAGCTGGATGTACTGAAAGTAACTTTTTTCATCGCGTACTGGAACATCACTAGAAACTCTCAGAAGACTATCGAGCCATGTTAGAGAAAACTTTTAGGCTAGTGTCCAGATAAAACATATAACCTTGCGAGTAGCAAGCGAAGCACATGAGTTATCGATGAAACGCTTTTCGGCCAGTAACTTATTTAAAATAGGATAGTTCCGAAAAGTCAGTCTTTGTAGTAGCAACTAACGTTCTTTGAGTTACCTGTAGTGCTTCTTGATATCTTCACAAAACCTAAGTTTTGGTATCATAGGGTACTTCGGCAGACGTATATTCAAGGCTCCCGGCGAGTGCTATCAGAGCTATTTTCTGTTGGTCTGATCAGTCCCAAACAGTTAACTTCGGTGTTCCCACATAAGTCTCAGAATATTATCTTTAGTGCGTCCAGACTAGACATGTGCGGGACCAACTTTTTTTGGTCCCGGTCCCGGTCGTTGGTCCCGGTGAAATTGAATTTTGGTCCCGGTCTGGTCCCGGTCCTGGTAAATTTTTTTTTGGTCCCGGTTTGGGTCCCGGTGAAAATTTTCATTTGGTCCCGGTCCCGGTCCCGGTGGAAATTTTGCTTTTGCTGCTGATTCCGGCGAAATTCTGTTTTTTAGTCCTGGGCTCAGTTAACACATTCGCTACGATGTGGCCTAACAGTGAGCCACGCTACATTTTAACGAGAAACTGTATAGAAAAGTACATTATTTTTCTTTGTTCTTAGACAGGAGGCTGAACATAATGCTTTATCTGTTCTGCCTTCAGAGCTCTTTTTGAGTCCGTTATTCCATAGCATGATGGGTCTTGTTAAAAAAATCAAGACAAAAAAAATTGTTACTCACAACAGAACGTTTTTACTTTCTTTGCTACCGCATAGCTCGCTTCTCTTGACTGTTGTGCCCTTCCTTTCGCAAAGCAGCCAGTACAGCGTCTGCGGACATTGCCCTTAAATCCTTCCTTTTCTTCGAGCTTGCGATTAGTGAATTCGCGCTTGAATTGGGTTGCTGATTCAACTTCTCGAATGGCATGTCATGCTGAAATGACCTCACAGGAGTTTCCCCAAACTACAGGATGGTTACTTCGCTACATGTGATATTACAAATGGAAGAGAGAAAACGACAGATCAGTATAGGATGAAAAGACCAAGCAGTGCATTTATCGCAAGATGAATGCAGAAGAAAATGAATCTCTAGAGCTACTCTTTAATAAAACCGAATCGCGTCGAATGTGTTAAATTTGGTTTTTGTTCCACACCCAGTCTAAGTAACCTTACTTTTTCTGTTATTTGTCCATAGTCAGAGAAGTTGTTGCAGAATCTGCCGGTTTTAGATCTGGAGCAGTTCTCACTTCTATTTCCGCCGATGTTTCTTATCAACGACAAACATGACCGGGACTAAATTGTTTTTCGATCCTGGTCCCGGTCCCAGTAAAATTCTATTTTTTGGTCCCGGTCCCGGTCGCGGTCCCGGTAAAATTCTATTTTTTGGTCCCGGTCCCGGCTACCGGGACCGGGACTGGTCCCGCACATGTCTAGTCCAGACACACCTCCAAATATTAGTAGCTTTCACAGCCTGATGTAGCCCTCACACAGTTACCTAAAATACTCCCAATGAGATTTCAGAATATTATTTTTGGTACCCTAGGATAGACCCCAGAATATCACCTTAGGTACTTCTGCTAGTCCTCAGAATATTATTTTAGTACTTAAGTTAGACCCCGCAATTGTACCTTTAATATCTTCAGATAAACCTCAGAATATTACCTTTAATACCACGAGATAGCGCGCAGAATACTGCTTTCAGTATCGTCGAATGAGTCTGAGAAATGTACCTTTATTCCTTCTAGATGCGTCCCACAATAGGACCTTTGATGCTCTGGCATAGTCCTCAGATAGTTAACCTGAATACCTTTAGACAGGCCCAAGATATTACCTTTCATACTCCCAGATAGACTTCAAATAGCTATCTCAGGCACCTCAACTACAGTAGTTCTCAGAATATTGCTTTTGATAACCCACAATTGGTCCAAAAATAGTACTTTTTGTACTCTGGCATCGATCTCAGATAGTTACCTTTGGTAACTACAGATATATCCCAAGATAGTACCTTTGGTACCCTAGAAAAGCCTTCAGATAGTTACTATAGGTAACCTCAATCAGAGTGCAGACAAACTGGCCAGGAATTAGTGTTTCCTCTACTTATGGTCTCAGCAATGAGAATTAGTTTTGTGCCAACAATGAGAGAGATAAACTTTCCTGCAATCTTATTGCTCAATAGTATTTGGATTTGGATGAATCAGTGAGCTCGAACTCGGCTCGAACTCGAACTTCTAAACTCGAGTTCGAGTCGAGTTCGAGTTTTGAGGCTCGAGTTCGAGTCTAAGCTTCGAGTCGAACTTTAATAGTATCGAGTTCAAACGGTTTGGGATTGGTCCATGTCTAATTATTTGTGAGTGTAAAAGATAGAAAAGTATCGGCTAACAGAAGAACGAATGTTCGATCACAAATTTTTTGCAATAAGATTGATTAAGAATAAGATGTTTTATGGTATTGTATAATGTACAATTATTGATGTTAAATGTTACTTTAACAACATTCTTTTCAGATTTTGACATTGACTGCAATTGAAGTAAATATTTTTAGTAATTGTTGATAGACGATTTTTTTCTATTCTGTCATATGAAACAATATTTTATCCGTAAGCAATTGTTAATTCCTATTAGATTCCATTTGCAAGAACTTATTGAGTACTTTATGTATTTTAAATTATGGAATCAACAGATCTACACTTTAGCTTTGCTTAAATTTTATTAATAAATACAACTATTTATTATACATCTGAATATATTCATATTCTAGATCAACAAGAACAAATAATCCTTAAAATTTTCATTAGTTAGCGAAAGATTAGCAATCACTATATCAAACTCTCGTACCAGAGATGGACGAGTCAGCAAAAAAGTCGCACCGTCACCGCCCCGTCCCGCACCGCTGATAAAGTTCCTCACCGCCACCGCCCCGCCCCGCCCCGTCAAAAATATGTTTTAAAAAACTATTTATTGGCAAATTTTTCATTAAATTTTCATAATGGCTATTTCATATCAGGAGATGAAGAGGCATATTTTAAATGCATAAACATCGTTCCGAAATAGAAAAAAATAAATAGATGAAAATGAAAGGCAATTATAATACAGTCACTCATTTTGTGGAACTCACGCATATTTTCGAATAAAATAGTGATTGTAAGTTTTAAGTTCGAGGTTTGGCGGCTCTCTCCCTTTCCCCACTCCATTACAGACACTCCACTTAGGGTTGCCAGATCTTCCGATACGGGAGGAAAAATTGCGATTTTTTGAAAGTTTCTCCAACGACTTTCTGACGTTCCGATTTTCCCGATTTTAACATATTTTTCTGATCGCCTTCAGATTTCCTAATTTTCCTCCGGTTTTCGAAGTCTTATTTGGGAATTCAAGTTCTTAGGACATTCTAGAATAGTTTAACCATGACACGACACCACACATATATAGCGATCTATTTCACCATAGTTATCGGGTAGTGAAGCGTCATGAACTCAACAAACCACACTGCAGTGATTTGAAAGCATATCCTCCAATAAAACTATGATGTTTTACAGACAATTAAGATCCAGCTTTCTATCACGATGAACTAATTTTCTCTGTTCGTTTACTATAGTGTTAATTGAGGATATTTTCGTTTCTGAGCTTTTTTTGTTTCATCACAGATATAATAAAATTAATCATAATCGTATGGGTACTAATTTAGCTGTTGCAGAATTGAAAATCGGAATGAATTCTGTTTATACTTGTGGACATTTTTATGAATATCTGTTACCTCAACCTGATATTTTGAAGAGTATTCGAGCTAATAAAAAAGTATGAACAAAAACGAACATTATACAGAATAAGTCTTAGTTTTGTTTTGCATAAGTTTTGTGAAATGCATGTGTGTGTATGAATTTACAATGTTGATTCTATTGTTTCGTCAAGTTGGTTATAGCATTTTTGATAAAAATAATGTGATCCTGTTCAAATTACTTACGTAGATTTCTCAATCATGAGTAAATTGTGTAATCGATATTTTCTTTAATTCTTTATGAAATATCATTTCCGATATTGCTTCGAAAAGATGAACAGAAGCAAGATAAAGGATATTGAAGCTATCGAAAATATATAAACTAGTTATTTAAGCATGGAAAAATACTTTCTGATTTTCTTCCGATTTCGAGAACAAAAATTCCGACTTTTTCCCGATTTTTAGAAAAATTTTTCTGATTTTTTAATTTTCGATCTGGTAACCGTGACCACCACCATTACAAACCTTAGCAGCGCATTAAAGGCTCTAGTTTTTTGTATAATATATCAATGATTTCATACGTATTCGGGAAAAAGGTATTTTACAATTTAAAAATAAGGCATCACGACAAAAAATTAAAAAAATATATGTGAGTTCCACATTTTAGCCCCTTTGGAGCTGCGCTAACAAGTCTTTTTTTACTGATTAGTTTTGTGAAAAAATTTTAAAATTTTTAAAAGATGTCTCTAAAGGTCTGAGTATATTTAAAAAATCAAGGTTATACAAAGGCGGGGAAACCGCGAAATTTCGTCATGCACCGTCACCGCCCCGCCCCGTCAAGTTTTAGCACCGCCCCGCGGCGGGGCGGGGCGGGGCGGTTTTACACCACGGCTCGTCCATCTCTGTCTCGTACTATTTCATTCTATAAAGAAATATTAACTATTACAAATTTTGATAGATAGAAAAATATTTAAGTAGAACATAATGACATATTTGTTCTGCAAGTACATTATATATAATACTTTTTTCTAGAACATATAAGAAGGGATGAGTTAATATGAATAAATTCAATTCTTAATTATTCATTATTTTGCTGAAAAATAAGCTTTTTTTAATAATTCATACAATTAAAATAGAATGAAATTATTTACAAAAAAAAAAGAACCGTTGATATCTTAATTATTAGAGATTCTTAATTTTTCAAAATCAATTGATAAAATAATCGAAAAAATTCGATTAACGCAAAAAAAAAATATCACTAAGACTTCAGCAATGTCTTATTAGGTATTCGTTCTTTTTTTCTTTGATATATATATCGTAAAATTAAAAAAAAAATCTAATGATTCTAATGTTGAAAACAATATTTCGATTTATTTTTTCTCTTTTAACTATTTCTCGAAACTTCAGTATCCGTCTGATACTGTTATTAATAGAAAGTATTGAAAGATTATACGTTCTATAGTTTCTCTCAAGGCTTCTTTTGTTCATCGACTTATTTTTACAAGATTATTAAGAAACAAATTTTTTATTTTAATTAATAGAAACGTAATTCCTTTCTTTAAGATAATACTTATAAAGTAGAATAATCATGTTTTTTTTTGTCATCACAAAACGTTCGCCAAAGGATAACATTCACACATTTTATCATTACACTAGAAAGAATATGGCTGATTTATTAGTAAAAATTAATATTTATTTTTCAAAAATAGTATTTCCTGTGATTGTCTTTACTAGTATAATAGGCAATATAATGAATATTGCTATACTTGGTCGATATAAAATGCGAAAACATGCATGTTCTCTTTATTTTATTGCACTTTCTATAAATAATCTACTATATTCGACTACTATAGTTGTTATTAGTCTATTAGGTGATGGATATCAAATAAGATTAAGTATTCGATCATTAATATTATGTAAACTTATCACTTATTTTGGTACTCTTCTATCAGCATTATCATCATATTTCATTGTACTTGCTTCGATTGATCGATGGTGTGCTAGTTCATCATCAATACAACGACGCAATTTTAGTAATGTTCGTACGGCTAAATGGTTGATCTTTAGCTTTATTATATTTTTCTCATTCTTATTTATTATATCATTCATCATGGCTGATATCGATACCAACGATACTCTCAGTTGTCGTATTCGAGACAATACAGTTTTTATTAAAACATATAGTATCTTTCAATTTATTCTCTACTCTTGCTTAGCACCTCTTCTAATGTTAATATTTGGTTGTATGACGATATGTAATGTAAAACAATATCATATAATGACTTTAACATCGACAAATTATCGTCGCACTGAATCTCAACTTTTTCGAATGCTTCTAGTTCAAGTAGGTGTTCAAATATTACTTACTTTACCAATATCTTTAGCTGGTCTACTTCTATCTTTCTCCAATATGTACCAAGCAACAATAAATTTTTATTCAATATTTATTATTTGTCGAGTTATATTTCAAATGAGTTATACAACACCATTTTTTTTGTATATTATTTCATCTCGTACATTTCGACAAGAATTTATTCGATTGCTTATTAAAATATCATTATATCATTTTCACAATCGAGTTCATGTAATGCAAAATCCTCGTCATCTAATAGACTGCAAATAAATATATTTATTTAAAGTAGTTTTATGGGTACCATAGAATTCTAGTTCTGATATTATCTGAAAATTTTAATTAGAACATCGAATTGAAATTTTGTATATAATTGTTTTGTATTTACATTATTAGATGTATATTTGTTGTTTTAATGTAATTGTAATTATATGATTATGTACTTG